ATTTACAGTTGGTTCATAGAATCCCTACAGTGAGGAAACAGGCCCTTTGGCCCAACAAGTCTGCACTGACCCTCCGAGCACCCACCCAAACCCATCCCCCCTATAACCCACCTAATGTACAAATCCCTGAACACTACTGGTAATTTAGCATGGCCAATCCACCTAGCCTGCACATCTTTGGACTGTGGGAGGAAACTGGAGCACCTGGAGGAAACCCACGCAGACACGGGGAAAATGTGCAAACTCCAGACAGACAGTTGCCCGAGGATGGAATTGAACTCGGGTCCCTGGTGCTGTGAGGCAGCAGTGCTAACCACTGAGCCACTGTGCCGCCCCAAACCCTTTGGCTTATTTCAATAATGAAACCTGTATTTATATGGCCACGTGCAGGACTAGAATCCAAGATGGGTAATAGGCAAAGCCTTTCAGTCACACCAGACTTGAAACATTGACTCTGTTTCTCTCTCTACAGATACTGCCAAACCTGCTGTGTTTCGCTGACATTCTGTGTGTTTGTTTCAGATTTCCAGCATCTGCAGTATTTTGCGTTTACTACTAATAGGCAAAGCTGGCTATTTTGCAGGTAATCACGGCAGTTTTGTTCCATTGGGTGGTTCATTGCTTTGAAAGTAAAGTGTTGCAGCTAGAAGGGTTTGGGCCTTCATGATTTACCGTTCTATCGTTCTTTTTAGTGCATTGATTGTGTGGTCCATTCAATGGTGTCTTCAATATATTAACAAAATCCTACATTGTTCTTTCACTTACAAGTTAATGATTTATTGGGTGCAGAGATATGTGTTAGGGATGTGATTAGATGTCCCGAGTTGGATACCATAGCTAGACGAGTGTGATAGCATCGTGGTCATGTTACCAGACTAGGAACACAGTGAAGAGGAGTTCAAGTTCACCACAACAGTTGGAGAATTTAATTCAGTTTATTGGTGACAGGGACTATGAGATTGCTAGAAAGACCCAACTTATATACACATTTCCTTTTGGGAAGGAAATGTGTTGTCCTTACTCAAGTCTGGCCTACATGTGACTCCAGTCTCACAGCGACTTGGTTCACTCTTAATCTGAAATGACCTTCCTCCCTAATTAATTGCATCATCACCTTCTCAGGACAGCCAGAATTGGGAACTAAATGCCAATCTTACCAGCAACACCCCTCTCCCAACACGAATATACATAATTTGAAATCAACAGTTCTGTTTTCACTTTAAATAACACACCTCACTAAGAAACAGCCTTTTCTTTTATGAAAAATGAGGAATGGTCTCGGTTGAAGATTGGTTCTGGTAACATTTAACTGCTCAGTTGTGGCTCAACCTGTATAAGATACAATTAGTGGGGAAGTGTGCAACTATCTGGGGTCCATTGGGTCCTCTGAAGTGGTATGAAAAGATGAACAGGAGAGGTGAATGGAGGATAAAAAAAGGATGGGAAAGCATCATGGCCTTCATTCAGGCAGTTGAGGAATTGGATCTAGGGTTAATAACAAATTGGTTATATAATTTCAACCTGCAGTTGACATTTAGTGAAATCTTAAAGCTTCTATAAAGTATAAATTCATGGTAGAAGACCTTCCTATGTGGTTATTAAAACAAACAGATATGAATGAACACACGTGGTAGTTCATTGAGAAAGTTGCAGTGAAATGGACTTCTCCATGACCACAGCACATGGCTCCTCCACCACTCAAGGACTAATCGATGAGCTATGGCCATCTGATATGCTCTTTCATTCATGTGAATTTTTTTTAAAAATTGAACCAATGTATTCCTTGTACATTACTCATGGCAATGTTAAGATTCAGAGTCTGAGTGTTGTGTTTACCTGCTAAACATTGCATTAGAAGGCCACTGCTCACTTACTCCCTGAACATTCTGAGTTCTGTTAAAGATCAATTATAATTGTTGTTGGAAGTTTCTCTGGATTAAAAACTAGTCTACTTCATATTTTGGAGAGATCTAAAGATCAGAAAAGGGTGTAAGACAGGGTTACCTTTAATGGTTTCTACTTATCAATTGAATTATAGTTACACGAAAGCCTTTTTAATGTTTTGTACAGTGTTATCTGGAATGACAGCCCCTGAGAGGCTGGTGGAAGATGACTGAACAGTAACTTTTCCAAAATATACATTCACTTTTAAATGATAAATGAACAGGATAACAGGGAACTCATTGGACAGTCCTTCTAACAGCTGGCACTTGCACAATGGGCTGAATGGTCTTGTTCTATGCTAGGTCATTTTATGGTTATTAATATATAATGCTTTGAATGCAAATAAAACCTTATGGTTCCAAAAATAAGGTTGGATTTTGGGGCTTGCTTGCAAGATGCTTGGCAGATAATTTGATCGATGAAACGACTATTCAAATTATTTAATGAATCTGTTTGCTTTTGAGTTGGAAATGATGGATTACAAGGTAAAAGCTCAAGGTGACCAGAAAGCCAGGTTTCACTGCATTATCAGCCTCTTAATCAATACAAACGTATTGTTGCTTATGTTTGTTAAAATTAAAGGGGAATAGGCTGATCACCTTTTCTGCCATTATTGGAACAGGTCTCGGCTGTGAGTGGACATCCATGACATAGCCCTACGTAAAATGCTGGGAGTCACATCCCCCCCTTTCTGGAGCAGAAGACGAGCCTGCGACATCCGTGGGGTCTCGAGGAGTTTGGTAGCTGGTGGGGGTTTTGGATGCTGGGGAGCAGGTTCGTGTAGACATGTGGTGGACTGAGACAGAGATGAAGTCACATTCAGCAGCTGTTGGAGATCTTGTTCAAGAAACAGGGATAGAAAAGAGTGAGTGGAAGAAAGGAAGGAAAACAAAAGACAGAACACACAAAAAAAGTTACAGTCATGCTTGGCAACATTTTTTTTCTGAAACGTGCATGAATTAAGACAGGATGAAAGAATGGCAAAGGACTATCCATAGCATTTTTTAAAAAGAGCAAATTAAACTGTAAGTATGCACTGTGCAAAGATGAACATTTTAAACATACACCACAAACTCAAATGAAAATGGTACCCATTACTTACAGAGAAAGTAATACACCAATTCTATTGCAGGTATTTGTTACTTGCACATTTGATTCGCTTACCTGAGATTTTAAGATTGCACCATCTGGAAATGAACCACTATAATGGAGTACACGTCCTGGCCAATTAGTCACATAGTAGAGCAGCCAGGAATAGCCAGATGTAACTAAATTACCAATGTGCACAGCAACTGAACTGAATTCAACCCATCTGCAAAGTACTTCATGACATTCAATTTTCCCTTTGATTGCTTAGCAGAGGATCTGTCTGTACGCTCACACTAACTGAGTAGGGACAAAATAAATAAAAATGTTATATTCCAAGTTCTAATTTGTCCTTAGTTTTCCAGCAATGTTCACTAATCATTTGCTTTGATATAATTTAAAGTAAGTCAATGCATTTTTACCTTCTACAGTGTATTAAATTGGATTTAATTTGGTGAAATCGACCATCTTCTGCTGGATCTTTCCTCAGGGAGTAAGTGAATTCCTCTTTGGATAATTTAGACCCAAATAAATAATTGCATGAGTTCTGTAAGTTGCTACTGCTGGGTTTTTCTGTGATCAGTTAGCTCAGTTGGTTGGATGGCTGGTTTGCAATGCAGTGTGATGCTTACAGCGTGAGTTCAACTCCCCCTCCAACTGAGGTTACCATGAAAGACTCTCCTTCTCAACCTTTCCCCTCGCTTGAGGTGTGGTAACCCTCAGGTGAAACCACCACCAGTTGTCTGTCTCTCATGAAAGAACAGCCCTCTGGGACTATGGTGACTTTACCTTTATTCTGCAGCAGATTATAATTGTTTATGTAGCAAGATGGAACAGGGTAGATCACTGGCAAACCTAGCAAGTCAAATGAAAATTTTGCTTAGGGTATTTGTCCTTCCCTAAAAATCTGAAAGTGAGGGAATTGTAATGGCTGAAATGTTCCAAATTTAGATGCGCTCAATAGCAAAATAGAGACCAATGTTTGTGTCGGCCCTGGATAAGGAATAGAAGAAGTGATATGCTGAAACAACTAGCCTCGCCTAGCCATTGCAGCACAGCTGGAATAATGACATAACAGCCATTGACGTTTTTTCCCCACTCTCATTATTCATTCAGCAAGCTTGTAATATACTCCATGATAGGGCATGGGTACCCCAGATGATTAGTTTATGGCTTACATTTTTAGTAATGCTTCATCAAAGAAAGAGCTCACTGGTTTGGAAAATTTAAAGCATAATTGAGTACCAACTGCATGAAATGTGTCCCTTATGAAATGCTTATTTTTAACATTCATATCTGGAATTTTCCTGTCACCTGCCGCTATCAAGAAAGAGAAACCTCACATTTACATGAAGATTTTCACAACCTCAGGACACCACAAAGCTCCTTACTGCCAATAAAAAAAAATTTTTGAAGTGTAGTCATGATTGAATCATACAAACAGATGATGGCTAAAGCAGAGAAGCAGGTCATTTTGTGCTGGCTGTCTGAGGAACAACTAATCCACAGCCACTCTCCCTACAACCTTGTGCATACTTCCTTTTCAGTTAATAATCCAGTGCCCTTTTGAATTCCTCCATTAATTTGACTTCTAACACACCCACAGGCAATGTATTCCATAAGGAAGGACAAACAGTCTTTAATTTTCTTGATTTGTTATTGGGAAGTAATCAATTTGCACCACTTGCGGATCTTCTCCAACGTTGCAAAACATTCTTTTGGATCACCCTTTTCTTTCACATTCACTTTAAATTTGTTTGTATTTTTCATTTATTTATATGTCAAATGTGTCTTAATAATGTATTTGATCAATTTGTCCTTCCAGCTATTCTACCTAGATAAGACATCTACTAAAATACAAATAGCATTGTATTGCATTTATATTGAATTCCTAGACCAAACAACTGAATTGCAATGCCTGTTTCATACGTGACTATGCAGTAATTACTTTATTAAATTGGAAAAGTCACCTTTAGGCTTCCCAGTCGGATGTGATTTTTTTGCGTTCATCATGGCCTGTTTCTTTTGAACTTCTGTGATAGCAAAGCCTTGAGAAAAAGCATAATATCACATATGAGCACAATTGTCAGATCAAACATGTCCCATTCAATAACGATGGACAGAGTCTGTGGAAGGCAAGCGAACAATGTGAAATACATGTCGAAGTGTTAATTCTGAAAAACAAAACTGACGTTTCGTGAATGAAAAACAAAACAACACAATTATATTAATGAGGGATCTCAGTGGTATTGGTAACAGCTCAGAGACTGATTCATCTGTGGTGGAGTGTGGCATTTCCATGAGGAATAATTAGGAGGCCATCACAATTGCTCAAGGTTGAACCCAGCTGTGGAATGTTTTACTGTGAGAGATAGTAGGAACTGCAGATGCTGGAGAATATGAGATAACAAGGTCTGGAGCTGGATGAACACAGCAGGCCAAGCAGCATCAGAGGAGCAGGAAAGCTAATGTTTCAGGCCGAGGCCCTTCATTTTCTGAAGAAGGGTCTAGACCCGAAACGTCAGCTTTCCTGCTCCTCTGATGCTGCTTGGCCTGCTGTGTTCATCGAGCTCTACATCTTGTTATCTCAATGTTTTACAGTGTTACTTTCAGATGCTTATGCACTAATGCAGCACTCTAGAATGAGCAAATTGCTATTTCCAAGCTACACTGTTGTTTTCTATCACTCTGTCATTGACAACCTGGAGGTGTATGCATGCTTGAGTGCGTGTGTGCAGAACAAACCATCCTCCCAGCTCTCTAATAACATACAACTGAGGACTATTTAATGGGTCGTTTGAGATCCTTTCTGTAAAGTGGCTTCACACTAGCTGCAGTGATAATATTTTACTTTTTTTTAAATTTAATCTATTAAACCTGTTCAGAGATGTCATTACACACCTCTGGATCAGGTGGTACTTAAACCCAGGTCTTTTGGTTCAGGGGTAGGGACAGTACCACTGCACCACAAGGCCCTCAGCTGCAGTTATATTCAGCCAGCATAAATACTCAGGGGTCATGTCTTATTATCTCCCCTCAGATGGTTAACAACCAATTGCTCTGTCAGTATAAATATATTAATCTATCGCACTCTGAGCTGAAGCCTAACAAATGATATGGTGTAAAGGCCAGTTGGGAAGGGAGAGGTGCACACTACAGCACAGCAGCAACTCCAGCAGGGGGGGAGGGGGAGGCGGGAGGAGGAGGAGGTGTGAGTCAGCAGGGAATAATGCCTCCTGACATTTGTGGAAAACGATATTGCGTGCCAGGCAGAATACTTTTCTGTCCTAACAGCTCTGCAGATGGAACTACTCCACATGAACTGTAGTAATTCAAGAAGACAGATGACCACTGCCTTCTCATGAACTGGGTGATAACTGCTGGCCTAACCGGAGAGAACCACATCCCATGAATGAAGAAACAGAAAGGCACACTAATGGTGGCATGTGCATAGCTGGTATTTTAGAATTCATATTCAAGGAGATGGACAGCTGACACCAGTAGCCTCAGTAACATTGTTTCATCCTGCCAAAACAAGACTTTTACCTGTCTCTTTGTCCAGTTGAACCTGTTTTCGTTCATTTTCAAAGGCTTGAAGCCAACGTTCCTTGACCGACAACTTCTTTGCGCAGAACAAGTGGACCTCATTTGTGAACTTGTTTTGAAGTTTGAATGCGTTCTTGACACTGATGTTGAAGTCCTTGTCCTTCCCATCTTCGACATCCACCACTTCCATGCTGTCTGTGTCAATCCTGCTTTTGTAGTACAAGATGTCACGACGCAGGAGGTCCTATGAAAGTGCCACATTATAAAACCGAACAGATTATGACCCATTCACCCTGTATAATATTAGAATTTCAACATATTTCACAAAGAAGAGTCAGTGCACTTTACTGTACTACAATAAAAACAGCAGCTTCTAGTTTGTAAAGCACTTTTAAAACAGAAACATGTTCCAAGGCACTTACAAATAAATGTCAAAATAAAGCTGTAAATGCCATGAATGGTGGCTAAAAATCTGGCCAAAGAGACAGATTTCAAGGAGGATTTTAAGGAAGAAGAAGTTTGTTGACAGGAGTAAAGGTTTTCAATGGAAATTTCAGAACTTGAAGCCTGATCAACTAAACATACCGGTTCTACAGAACTAACTGGATAAAGCAGAACAGGTAGACATTTAAAGGCACTTCTTCAATGTAATTGTCAAACATCAACAGCGTAAGAGCATCCTGATTACGATAGGTCATAATAACTTGCTGATGGGAGGGTCTAAACAAACTCAACTCGGCTGTGGGAACCAGAATGACTGCACACAATCCTCCGGGAGAAGTCATGCCTGCACATTGAGAATACCCTCCATCGTGTTGTGTGGCACTACCACTGTGCTAAATGGGACACACTCCAAACAGATCTAGCAACTCAAGACCGGGCATCCATGAAGTACTGTAGGCCATCAACAGCAGCAGAAACGTATTCCAACAAAATCTACAACCGCGTGGTCTGACATATCCCCCATTCAACTATTACCATCAAACCAGTGGATCAACCCTGATTCAATGAAGAGTGAAAGAGGGCATGCCAGGAGCAGCAACAGACATAGCTAAAAATGAGGTGTCAACTGGTGAAGCCACAGCAAGGGACAGACAGAACTAAGTCATCCCATAACTAATGGATCAGATCTAAGCCGTCTGGTCCTGCCACACCCATTCATGAACGGTGGATAATTATAAATTCACTGGAAGAGGAGGCTCAATATCCCCATTCTCAATGATGGAAGAGCCCAGCAGATCAGTGTAAAAGATATAGCTGAAACTTCTTCAGCCAGAAATGCCGAGTGGACAATCCAGTTCAGCTTCTTCCAGTAGTCCCCACCATGACAGATGCCAGTCTTCAGCCAATTCAATTCATTCTATGTGATATCAATAAATGGTTGGAGGTAATGGATACAGCAAAGACTTTGGGCACTGACTTCATTCCGGCAACAGTACTGAAGACTTGTGCTCTAGAACTTGCCACACCCTTAGCTAAGCTCTTCCAGTTTAGCTACAACACTTGCATCTCCTTGACACTGTGGAAAATTTCCCAGGTTTGTCTTGCACACAAAAAGTAGATCAAATGCAACCAGGCCAATTACCGTACCATCTGTCTATTCTTGATCATCAGTAAAGTGATGGAAGTTATCATCAACAGTGCTATCAAGCAGCACCTGCTCAGCAATAACCTGCTGAGTGACGCCCAGTTTGGGTTCTTCCAGAGCCACTCAGCTCCTGACCTCAATACAGCCTTGGTTCAAACATCGATAAAAGAACTGAATTCCAGTGATGAATTAAGAGTGGTAGCTTTGAAAACAAGGTTGCAGATGACTGAGTGGCACCAAGGAGCCCTGGCAAAACTGGAATCCATGGGAATCAGGGGGACAAAGTCTCTGCTGGTGGAGGCATACCTGGCACATAGGAATAGGTTTGTGGTTGTTGGAGGTCAGTCATCTCAGCTATAGGATATCTCTGCGGCAGTTCCTCATAGTAGTATCCTAGACCTAGCCATCTTCAGCTAATTCATCAATGACCTTCCCTCCATCATAAGGTCAGAAGTGGAGATGTGTGCCAATGATCGCACAATGTTCAGCACCATTCGCATCTCCTCAGATACTGAAGCAATCCATGTTGAAATGCAACAAGATCTGGTCAATATCCAGGATTGGGCTGAAAAGTGGCAAGTGTTATTTGCACCTCACAAATGTCAGGCAATAGCCACCTTCAGCACAAAGCAATTTAATCACCGGCCCTTGACATTCAATGGTGTTACCATCACTGAATCCTGGGGGTTACCACTGACCTGAAACTCAACCGTACTCACATATAAATACTGTGGCTACATGAGCAGTTCAGAGACTAGGAATACAGCGGTGAATAACTCACATCTGACTCCCCAAAGCCCGTCCATTATCTACAAGGCACAAGTCAGGAGCATAATGGAACACTCCCCACTTGCTGGATGAGTGTAACTCCAAGAACACTCAAGAAGTTGACACTATCCAGGACAGAGCAACCTGCTAGATTGGCACCACGCCCACAAACATCTGCTTCCTCCTCCACTGGCACTCAATAGCAGCAGTGTGTACCAACAATTAGATTTACTGCAGAAATTCACAAAGATCCTTAGACAGCACCTTCCAAATCCATGACCACTTTCATCTGGAGGGACAAGGGCAGCAGATACATGGGAAAACCACGACCTGCAAGTTCCCCTCCAAGCCACACACCATCCTGATTTCGAAACATAAGGCCGTTCCTTCAGTGTTGCTGGGTCAAAATCCAGAAATTTCTTCCCTAAGGATCAATCTAAGCATGTGGACTGTAGCAGTTCAAGAGGGTAGCTCACCACCAATCAAGTGGCTGCTTTGTCCTGGATGGTATCAAGCTTCTTGAGTGTTGTTGGAGCTACACCCATCCAGGCAAGTGGGGAGTATTCCATCACACTCCTGACTTGTGCCTTGCAGATAGTGGATAGGCACTGGGGAGTCAGGAGGTGAGTTACTCACTCCAGTATTTGAGCCTCTGACCTGTTGTTGCAGCCATAGTGTTTACGCGATGAGCTCAGTTGAGTTTCTGGTCAATGGTAACCTCAGGATGTTGATTAATGGGGGATTCAGTGACTGTAACTCATTGAATGTCAAGGGATGATGATTAGATTGTCTCTTCTTGGAGATGATCATTGTGTGGCATTTATATGGCACGAATGTTACCTAACAAGGCCTTAAGGATTTTGTTAAGTGACATTTGCGCCATACAAATACCATGCAATGACCATCTCCAAAAATAGACAATCTAGTCTCTGCCCTTGACATTCAAGGGCATGTGGTTCAACTATAGCATGTGGACTGCAGCAGTTCAGGACTGCAGCTCACCACCAACTTCTTAAGGGCAACAAGGGACAGGCAATTAATGCAGGTCAATCAGCAACGTCCACATTCCACGAGTGAATAAAAAAAATCAAGGTTATGTTACATGTATGTGAATGTGCAGAGTATAGTTAATAAGTCTGGGGGTTACTGGCACAGTTTGCCTTTTGGGATGATGATGCTGTGGGTATATCAGATACCTGCCTCAAGGAGGACAATACTGGTGTGAATATTCCCGGTTAGAAAAGATAGGAACAAAGAATAGGTTTGATGGTGGCATTTTTGGCTAAGCATTCTAGCCTTCATTAATAGGGGCATAGAGTACAACAACAGCAGGGAAGTCATGCTCAACCCACTTTGGGCACTGGTTTGACCTCAGCTGAAGTGTTGTACTGAGTCCTGGGCACCACACTGTATGAAGGATGCAAATACACTGGCAAGAATGCAGAAGAGAATGGCTCTAAGAATGAGATACTTCAGCCATGAAGGTAGTTTGGTCTGTTTATTTAGGAGAGGTTAAGGAGCAACCTGATATAAGTTTTCAAAATCATGTCTTGTCAGGAAGAGTAGATTGGAGAAAACGTTCCTGTTTATAAATGGGTTAAGAACACATTTTTAAAGTGTTTTGCAAAAGATGCAATTACAAAGACGAGAAAAACATTTTCACACAGCAGCTGATCTGGGTTTAGAATGCCCTGCCTGGAAACGTGTTTGAGAAATGTTCAACCAAGGCATTCAAGAGGATATTGGATGATTATTTAAACAGAAACAATAAAAGGCAGGAGTCTGGCACTAAGTCAAAATGGTCAGACAGCTTGTGCAGACACAATGGGCTCAATGGTCTCCTTCTGTGTCATAACAATTCTGTGATTCTGTAAACTTCTCAGTAATATTAAAACTGACAGAAAATCTATTTCATATGTTTTTGTGGCACTTTTTCATATCCATCCCTTTAGGCATTCAGTAGTAAGCAGTGCTATTATGGTGCAATCAGTGAAACTGTGTTCTGAGCAAGTTTCCCGCTGAGACTTTTACTGATCAGCTGACCATCATTCTCGTTAATACCACACTTTTGTGCCTTGCTTTACTGGCCTGGATTGAATAGCAACTTTGGTTGCCATTATATTCCAGTTTCCCCAGATCACAAATCAGTGCAGTGCTTGCCTGATGGATTGTGGACCTTAGTGGTTATGCTGAGATGCTAATGTTAATCTCTCTCTGCACCTTCTCGGCAGCTGTAACATTGTATCCTGCATTGTATCTGTTCTGTTACCCTGATGCACTTGTTGAGTACGATCTGCCTGTAAAGCATCTAAGACCATACTTTTCACTGTACTCCAGACAGTAATAAATCAATTCAAATTAGCTGTTACACCAGTTCCAAAGTATTATTTGACTGTGGAGCACATTGGTGCATCTTGAGGACATGAAACATGCAATATCAAAGCATGTCCTTTCTTCTTTACTGTAGTACGGCTATATAGAAAAGGATTTTAGGTCTGTAGTCTTATACACATTCTGGTTTTCTTTGCAAAGATAGCAATAACTGCAGATGTTGGGTCAGAGTTAATGCAGTGTGGAGCTGGAGGAGCACGGCAGGTCAGGCAGTGCCACAGGAACAGGAAAGTCGATGTTTTGGGTCTTATCTTCTGGTGCTGCTTGACTTGCCGTGTTCTCCAGCTCGATACTGCATTGACACCAGTTTTCTTTGCCTTATGTCTGACCCTAACCAATAGTGATTAGCTGCTATTGATTAGCTAGTGATTAAATAACCAGCAATTAGATTTGATAGAGATTTTAGATTTGACAGAGGTCCTCAAAATAATGAATGGGCTGGACAGAGTAGATAAGAAAAAGCTGTTCCAACTTGTTTAAAAAAAAAAAGACTGAGACAGCATAGATTTAAAGTGATATGCCAAAGAAGCAAAGGTGATTTGAGAAACGAGAATGCTTTTTCACACAGAAAGTAGTTAGGGTACAGAATGCACTGCCTGGAAACGTGGTAGAAGCAAGTTCAATTGAATCATTCAAGAGGGCACTGGATAATTATTTGGATTGAAATGCTGTGCAGAGATAAGGGGAAAAGGCAGGAATTTGGCACTAGGTAATAGAACCAGTGCAGGCAGAATAGGCCAAATGGCCTCCTTTTTTGCTGTAACAATTCTGCAAATATCATTGTTTCACTTGACAACCAGGATGATGGGAGGGAACCTGGATAGACCTTGATCTTTTCTCATGAGGTAATTCCTTTCGTTCTAAATTGCTGAGATGATCTCTGTAAGAAATTCAAAAAAGTGTGAAGGCTAACATATAACAGATGACATTTTTTACCTTCTTGCAAAAGACCACCTGATGGTCAAAGAGGAAAAAGATTCGCTGTTTGCTCTTGGCTTGAGGTTGGGAGACCTTTGTTAATTCACCAGAATGGATGAGCTCTGAGCTTCGGGCCAAAACATCTTCACCCTAGAGAAGGAAAGGAAGATCTGGTAAGGATCATTTTGAAATGCTTTGCGAGAGATCCCTCATAAATAGGATTACTTAGCCTTTGTGCCTCCAACATACAATATGATGGAATGCATACTGTTTATGACAGTATTAAAAACTGTCAGAAATGATACAAAAATTGTAAGTGCCCCTCAGAAATGAAGCAACTTTGTTGTGTCACTAAACTTTAAAGTTGATAAAAACCGAAAGAACTGCAGATGCTGTAAATCAGGAACAAAAACAAAGTTGCTGGAAAAGCTCAGCAGGTCTGGCAGCATCTGTGAAGGAGAAAACAGAGTTAACGTTTTGGGTCTGGTGACCCTTCCTCAGAACTGTTCTGAGGGTCACCGGACCCGAAACGTTAACTCTGTTTTCTCCTTCACAGATGCTGCCAGACCTGCTGAGTTTTTCCAGCAACTTTGTTTTTGTTCCAAACTGTAAAGTTGATTTGGGTGGGGTGGGGAAAATATGCAGCCTTTCTTCAACCGAATGTATTGTTCCAGTGATCATATCACAGTTCATGCTAAGTTAAAATTGGAAGAGAGTAGGGATGTTTTTAAAGCGTAATGGGTTTTTCAGAGTAAACGTCCTTTAGTTGCTTGCACCATCTGGCTTAATGCCCTACTTTAGATCATCAGTCACAACTGCTGAATCATTATCTTTCAGTTGCCGCTAAAGTGAGCATTTTGCATAAGAGCTGGCACTTCACTCATGCCGTCCCATTCGGCCACAATGTAAAATTGAAATCACATGCATCATGTTAAAAATGCTGGAAAGATGTGCCAACTCCTCCGTAATCAATACCACTTACCTGCCAGCAGGGCTCTCATTTATCAGCATTACAAATCAATAACATTTTTTTTCAGTGATCAATTTCCTGCACCCTGAAACTAAATTACATGCTCAAGCACATTCTGTAGGTCATTTATCTCTGGAAGATTTATATTGTTATTGAGTGGTGTTAGTTACGCCTCCCTGCTGCTACATGGTAATTGCATAACCAGCAATGAATTGTGGAATTAACAAAATATGTTTTATTTTATTGTAGCTTCCAAGCATTTAGCACATTAAGCAACAGAAAGGTGCATCTATCATGGTATAAGAAATTAGATTTGAACACACCCAAACAAGCACTCTTCTTAAAATAGAGCATTGTGCTAATGATCTAGAACAAGTATTATATCACTTCAAGTGCTGGCCATTTTCAGCAATGAAACTGAATTTCTTAACGCAACACCGCACCTTCCATTTCCTTGTCAGAATGTAGGTGTAGGAGATTTAAAAGTTAAGGCAAGTATTTAACCAGATGCAAACTAAATCATCTCCATACAATCACCATACAACAACAAAAGACCAGAACAAGAATAGCCCTACAAGGAAAACTCTCCAAACTCACCCACAACAACGATATGGACAACACAGAAACATGGATCAAGAACATCTCAGACCAACCACTTACAGACACTGAGAAGACCATCCTAATACGTGGACTGAATTGTAATACAGAGACGCTAAAAAAACTGACTTCCTGGCTACACTGGAATTGACACTAAAGAACAACAGGCTCACAAAGGAAATACATCAGACCATCAGACAGATGATAGTCCCAACACTGAGCAGAAAAGGTAAGTGGAACACATTTAACACAGAAGAGAAGAAAGCCCTGGAAAGACTCAAGAAAGACAGAAACATTGTAATCTTACCGGTGGACAAAGGACGCATGACAGTAATCCTTAATAGAGCCCAATACATCAAAAAAGCTAACGCACTACTAGCAGATTCTGACACCTACCAACAGATTGCAATAGACCCAACACCACAGTTAGAAAGCCAGATTACAACAACCCTGAAGAAATTACACAACTCAAGAGATATCAGCAAGACAGGCTACCAAAAGAAATGAATCCAGAGGGATCCAACACACCCTGCTTCTATGGACCCTGCAAGGTACCTAAGCCAGGGGCTCCCCTCAGACCCATTGTATCACTACCAGGCACACCAACATATAGACTAGCCAAAGAACTACAACGGAAACTGAAATACTTAGTTGACAACACTATGCACTCCATCCACTTCTCCCAAGAATTCCTCAACATTATCAAGGACCCCAAATAGAAGAGGATGATGTTGTCCTTCAAAGTAACAGCACTAGTTACATCCATAAACATCGACCGAGCCAAAGAGACAATTGCCACACTGCTGGATGAATCAGGAAGGCAGGCACCCCACGACACCAATAGCATCAACAAGACAGCACCCTGAAACTGCTGGATCTGTGCCCAATGACCCACTTCACCTTCAATGGCCGTATATTCAAACAAATCAACAAACCACCCCAACAGGATCCCCAATATCAAGACTGATTGCAAAGGCAGTAATGCAAAGGTTAGAATGGACAACGCTCCCACTATACAACCCAAACTCTGGGTCCAGTACGTAGATGACACCCTCAGGATTATCAAATGCACAAGACTAAAAGAAACCCACCGACACATAAACAACATCCTCACCGGAATATAATCCACAAAAGAAGAAGAGAACAATAACTCACTACCCTTCCTAGAGATAACGGTAGAACGTTAGAACAACAGGGAACTCCATACGAGCGTATACAGAAAGACCACACATATGGACCAGATCCTTAATTACACCGGCAACCACCCCAACACCTATAAACGGAGCTGCACCAGGACATTATTCAAACAGGCCACAACACATTGCAGCAACCCGGAATTGCGCAAAGCAGAACAGGAGCACTTGAACGAGTTTTTAAAAGGAATGGACATCCAAAAATCACTATCCGCCGTTACCTCCGCGACAGACCACAACAAGAAAACACAACACAGCCAGACACACTAGTCACCCTACCGTACATCAGGGACATATCAGAGAGACCACAAGACTACTCAGACCCCTAGGTATCAGGATAACCCACAAACCAACAACCACCCTGCGACAGCTACTGATGAACGTAAAGGATCCCCTACCCACAACTAATAAAACTAACATAATATACAAAATACCATGCGAGGACTGTGAGAAACATTACATAGGCCAAACTGGAAGAAAACTGACAATAAGGATATACGAACACCAGCTGGCCACCAAGAGGCACAATCAATTCTCACTGGTTTCAATACGCATGGACAAAGAAGGACACGAACTCGACTGGGACGACACGTCCAATATAGCACAAGCCAAACAGAGACATGCCAGGGAATTCCTGGAGGCCTGGCATTTCAACCGGAATTCTGTCAACAAACACATTGAACTGGACCCAAAAAACAAAACCAGAAGTGATGCCAACCACCCAGCAAACTGAGGCATAAAAATAACAAGCAGGACAGAACACCAACGCTTCACCAGAGGCGCACTGATGACATTACCTAGCAGGGTGACAAAACACCTACAACAAAACACACTTGCTCAGCGAGCAAGTCTACAATCTAAATCAACTCCATCATGCAAGGAGCTTTGTTTCTTACATTGGAGTATTATCAGTGTTGCAGGTGGGCTGCATAAGCTGTGGAAATTGGAGAAAAATCTTTTGGTGTTACTTAATTTAAACCTCCAAATGAGTGTTGGTATGTTTGCGGTCTCATCAAAACAATCAGAAGAACTTTTGTGTGCTTCACATGTTGGCATTGAAGAGAAAGATAGAATTGTTGACTGCTAGCTATCACGACTTAGGGAGTGCCATATAGGTTTCTACTTTTTACTCCCAAGTCCCAGGACTCCAGAATGGTTAGACCAGGTGGGTTTTAATGCAAATTCACTGAAAACCTTTAATAAATAATTTTCCATGACATAATGGGAGAATATATGGTTTTTTACTTTGCCAATCTTCACACATCAAGTTTGTACGGTGAGAAGCTCCAGGCAGACTACTGGAAAAATTAAACTGCTTAACTCAAAAACAGGCAGTGTCCAATCTTACTTAAAAGCATTGATTATCTACTCCATATGAGATAAATGGAATCTGTATTTATGTGGATTTCTCAGGAGTTTAGTTATGAGAAAAAAAAGTGAAATATTCTTTTAAAATCACTGGCAAAGAGGTAGCAAAATTTTGAAAAGTCTTGTCATGGCAATTATGAAAAACTGTTTCACTAAGTACATGAATTAATGAGAAGGAGACAAATGTGGCAGTTTCTTCCTTGGTTAGAGTAGCTGACTTCCTCACAATCTTACATCGACAATATAGCCATGAATTGATTCCTTGGGCTGAACGTCACTGGATGTATTCACACTGGATTCCTGTCAGGATTTTCCCAATAAAGAATCCAGTTCTCAGCAAAGGCCAAGGCCTACCCATGTTAGTACTCTATGTGGTGTACAGTCATGATCTCCCACTAGCTGCCACTCTACTCCCACACCAGGAGTAGTATGTGTTGGCTGCACAGAAGAAGCAAAATTGAGATGCGATCAGTGAGCTGGTGCTAGGCTTGCCATTAAATATATTTACTTCTTGTGGTCTGACCCAGTTTCCCAGTGGGCAATCTAGCCTTTAAATTCAGTTTATCACTGACACAAGAAAAGGACAAGTTATAAGCACTGAGAAGTATAGTGGATCATAGAATGCTTTACCACACAGGGCAACTTTTGTAGAAACTCCAACAGCATATAAGAGGAAAATCAATAAATATTTGATCAAGAAATGGTATCGAGAAAGGATAGGCAAATGGGTTAGAGTGAACAGCTTCAGCTGAGAACTGGATCCGGTATAGTCAGCTTGGACTAAATAACCAAATAACCATGGAGTTAAGCAAAACAAAAGAATGCAAACATGAAAGAAAACAATGTATGCTTCCAGTAAGAGAAAATTAAGCTAAATCTACTGATCACACATAAACAAAATGTGTGATGATGACGCACAGGGTCCAGGCTCCTACCTCCCAATTCTCGATTGAACTCTGCCATTGGGCAATTTTGTCGAGGTTTTCCAGCCGCCTCTTGCGCTCATTAATCAACTTGGCAACATTCTTCATGGCATTCAACGCAGCCTCCACATCATTGTAATCTCTGGATGAAAGATATTAATGATCATATACTACAGGAGGGAATAGATACACGATAATAGAAGCAAACCCTGTGCAAATACAATCTGAATGATTTCAATGGAAAACTGCCACCTCGTTGATCTGGTGTAAATCACTTTATTTGTGTGAGGCCATCTGTGCTGCCAGTAGTTATATTGTTTCTTTTCTTCCACCTGTTTCAACTTTGCAATCTATGAACCATACATAGCAGGATAATAAAACATTCTAAATCATACAAAATTATTTTGATTGCTTTTGTTTTGACAACTGCATGAGTATGATAATGCAACCAATTCAGGTTCTAGGTTCAGGAATTAAGGTCTTGCCTTTCATTATAGTGTGTTTCTGTGATTTACGATGGTTCCACTTTCCTGAAATACTATTCCATTTTTGTACACATCATAGCGTCATACAGCACAGAAACAGACCCTTTGGTCCAACCAGTCCATGCCGAACATAATCCCAAACTACACTAGTCCCACCTACCTTCTGGCCCATATCCTTCCAACACTTTCTTATCGATGCACTTATCCAAATATCTTTTAAATGTTGTAATTCTGCTCACATCATACACAAACTACCCTCTGTGCAAACAATTTGCCCCTCATATCTTTTTTAATCTCTGTCCTTTCACCTTAAAAATGTGCCCTGATCTTGAAATGCCCCCATCCTAGGGAAAAGATACCTACCATTAACCCCGTTTATACCCCTTATGATTTTATAAAGTTCTGTAAGGTCACCTCCCAGTGAAAAATAGCCCAGCCTATCCAACCTTTCTTTACAGCACATGATGAGGGATGTCCATATTGAGGAATTTGAGATTTTTTCATCCTATTATCAACTGTATGCACAAGAAATTTAGAGATTGCCTGAGCCTATGGACACAGAGAAACAGACTCGACAAGTTATTTCTGAAGAAGGGTCCAGACCCGAAACGTCAGCTTTCCTGCTCCTCTGAGGCTGCCTGGCCTGCTGTGTTCATCCAGCTCCATGCTGTGTTATCTCAGATTCTCCAGCATCGGCAGTTCCTACCATCTCTCGACAAGTTTTGTTTATAAATACCTCATAAAGACAGAGATCTACAGAACAGAAAAAAGGCTCTCGGACCTTTGGCCCATCATCTCTGCACCAGTCAAAATCAACCACCTAACTATTCTAATCCCATTTTTCAGCAATTGATCCACAACCTTGTATGCCTTGGCATCACAAATACACATTTAAATACTTCTTAAATGTTACAAAGGTTTCTACCTTTACCACCCATACAGACAGTGAGTTCGAGATTTCCACCACCCTCTGGATGAAAAACTTATTCCTCACATCTCCTCTATACCTTCTTCCCCTCTGTTTCTCAGTCTGTACATAGATCCCATGTTTAACCACAACAGTATTACTTGGATGTCTGTGAACCAACAGGTCTGTGTTAGTCACCAGTATTTAGCACTGAAATGTGGCTTCTTTAATCCATTTGCGTTAATGAACCACATGATCCAAATAATTACGAAGAACATGAATAGGCCATTCAACTCTTTCAGTCTGTTATATCATTCAATTTGATTATGGCTGATCTATAATTCAAGTTCATTCATCTGACATTACATAATATCTCTTGATATTTTTTACAAAGTAAAAATTTATTGACAACAGCCTTGTGAGTTTCAATCGACCTTGCATCCATAACGTTTTGGAAAGTTCAAAATTTCTACTGCCCATTGTTTGAAATAGCGCTGCCTAATTTTGCGCAGAGCTCTGATTGGAGAGTTATACATCCTTTTGTTGGATTCTGTAGTACAAGAACCAAATTCTCTTTATCCACCCTATTGAATTATATTAACAATTTAAACACCTCAATTTAATTACACCTCAAACATTATAACTGAGCTGTAACGCCCACACTTTTGCACACTTTCAAGATTTGATTCAATTTTCCATCAGCCTTTTTGATTGACACCAGCATTTAATTAGTTAGTATACACCCAAATCCAATTGTTCTTCCACATTCCCTTGTCTCTTTCCATTCAAGAAAATATTTGTCCTAATGGATTCAAAGATCAGGATAAGTCCTGACATTGGGCCCAATTGCAGATCTGGAGCCTGTATGGGAGGGCAATGGGACCACATGGTCAATTAGGAGACCATCACCAAGCCTGTATTCAATTCTAGATGGCATCTAGCTCTCAAAACTGCTGGATCAGTCATCCAATAGAGATGGCTATTGCTGAGGCTGCAAGGGGAAAGATTTGAGGCACCCGTACAGGGATGATATAAATTTATTCCACTGCCAGGATCAGACAGGTAGGCCCTGGTACTTATTTTTTATTCATTCATGGGATGTGGATGTCACTGACCAGACCAGCATTTATTTCCCAACCGTAATTGCCCAAAGGGCAGTTACAAGTCAATCACATTGCTGTGGGTCTGGTGTCGCATATAGGACCGATTGCATAAGCATGACACTTTCCTTCCCTAAAGGACAATAGTGAACCAGATAAGCTTTTTCAGCAATTGACAAGAGTTTCATTATCATAAGTAGACTCTTAATTCCAGACTTTTTTTCAAAAACCAAATTCAAATTCCACCATCTGTCATGGTGGGATTTGAACCCAGGTCTTCAGAACATTACCTGAGTCTCTGGATTAATAGGCTAGTGAGAATACCACTAGACTATTGCCTCTCCTAATAGGAGCCAGCAGTGACAATAGAACTATTGTCACCAAGGAGGCATCCTTTAGTAAAACCCGGACCCTGATCTCCCACCAATCCCAGAAACAACAAGAAGACCACCTCACATAGTGGCCTCCACACTCATCAAAGGGACATGCTATTTTAATTATTTAATTTGGCTTTTCACTTCAGGTCAGGCCTCAACATTTCCTGCCACTGGGAGAATGGTGTGGTTGCATGACTATGTCACGCTTCTTTCTCAATGTGTTTTCCTGTGTCTCCCACCTTCCAGCCTATCTCCAGTGTGCTGGCAAAATCCTGGATGAGGTGTCACACTTCCCAAATTGGTCTCCAGTCAGAATCAGTGTTAGTCACACATGAAGCTAGAGGGCAAAATTCAAAATGCATGCAGTTGTGAGTTAAAAAAAAGGAAGTTCAAAACCTTGGTGATCCAACTTTCGAGTGTGTTTCTCCATTTTCATCTCTGCATGTGAAATGCAACATTGGCAAACAATTGTCTCATCTGAAGCAATGTCATTCCTGAACTGTGTCATTGAAAGTACACAAGGCCAGCCCAAAATCATCTGACCTCCTGCCCATTCTCTTCTTTCTCTGTGCAATTGCATCAGGCCAGTTATGTTGAGTTTGGAAAGTAGCTGTTCACCTGAAATTTCTGGCTTTGGTTGTGAGTTTATCTGTACAGCTCTGACTGACAACAGGAGAATGAAAACCCAGTTACTTGATTTGAAATTCTCCACTTTGGCTCACTCAATGAGTGTTCTGGTTTCCTTAAGTGCTAATTTCCTCTCTGAGGATTATTTGCACAGTGTCATTTAGACCTTACCTGTGCTCTGGATTGGTGTACTTGAGCAGCTCTGCCAACTGAAGTGGATATTTGCAGATCTTCTGGACTGGTGTGAGCAGAAAGCCATCCAATGAGATATCAATCATCTTCTGAAGCAGGCGACATGCCTCAAAAAAGTACACGTACTTGTTGATTTTCATGAGTTTGGACAGCTCAGTGTAAGCATTAGGGTGGTTGTTGCAGTACTCAGAGTATATCTGGAAATCTGTCTGCTAGAAAGAATAAACAGCACAGAAAGGTCAGCAACTGATCCATGGGGCAAAAACTGTTGTGTGAATTGGGTTGACTTTGGTTACCAGCCCCATTTTCATCCCAGTGTGCACATACCGCCAAAACACAAAATCCTCAGCTTGCAGATATTGAGGTTTGCAGTGCTGTACAAAGCAGTGTTAACATATATCAGCCAGACCCACAGGCAGGATCTCCATTTGATTTCAGTGTTGCTAGGGTTAGCGGAGAAAAGCTAGTCCAGGGTTTTGCTGGCTGGTGATTTCAATTGGTTGTGGTGATGTTTGTGAGGTAGGGGAGGGTGTAGGATTAGGCACCTGGTACTCTTTCCACAGTATGGTGGAACAGCTCGCACTCTAGGTCAATGTGCTGTCAATGCAACGTCATGTGAGGTGGAGCTCAAATTAAGTAACTCCATGTTGGCTGCTCAATGAAGGAGGGTGGACTCCCAAGCTACGAATCACAACAAGGCCTGAAGCACTAGATAACCCAGGAGCTCTACCAGAAGAGGTTAGAAATGGTAAAGCAAAAAAGCGAGATAAGTAGAAGCACACTCAGATAATTCCTTGCTCAAAACAAATGAAAAAAGGCCCAGTGTTGTTAGGGCAATCAGCATTGATGGGATTACTCCTTTATGCTATAATGAAATTAGCTTTCTTCTGTACTGTAACCATTCTGCATTTTTGATATCCTATATATTATACTAATGTAACATCTAAACATGTGATCCCTTCATTTACTTTATTGCTCTTCATTTTCAAATTGATTGTCACATTTTTTTCTCAAAACAGTTGTAAGCATTCCATAAAGTTTCAACCCTGGCAACATTCTTAGATACTGTTAGAGACTGTTTACAATATGGCATCTAATTTGATCCTGAGCCCAATTTGCTACCACATATTCTCTCAAACAAGACTGTCCAATTTCATGACAGCCTGACTCTGCTTCCTCTTCAGCTATCTGCTACTGAAACCCTCATTCATACTTTTATTACCATTACATTTGACTGCTTCAATGCTTTCTGGTAGGTGTCCATTATCTTTTAGCCTCTGTAAGCCAGAAGACGTTCAAAAACTGTATTGCCAATATTTAACTTGCTGTAAAATCCCACTCGCCCTAGGTTCGCTGACCTAAATTCACTATCTAAATTTTGCAGTTCTCATTCTTGTCTTCAAATCCTTCTGTTATACTGCCTTCCCCTATCTCTGTAATTTCCTCCAGTCCTACCTTCCAAGATTCCTACACATCACCAATTTTTGCCTCTTGTACATCCCTGATTTTCTTCACTTCACTACTGTCAGCTTTCGTATCCTGGGCCCTATCTGGAAGTTCTTCCCCAAATGCCTTCGCCTTGCTACCACTCTGTCCTCCTTTAAGATGCTCCCTAAAACCTGTCTCATTTACACAGGCTTTTGGATCCTTGTTCTAATATTTGTGGCTCATTATCAAACTTTGCTTGATAATTGACCCTGTGGATCACCTTGTGATGTTTTACCATTTAAAAGGTGCTATATAAATGGAAATTGTTATTGTTGTACAGTTCAATAGAGCTTCAGTGACTGTGAGTATCTGAAGTCTCTAAATGGAAGTTATTTCCTGTCTTTTCATTATATTTCAGTATAATTGATGCTGACACTTCTGTTGGAACTACTATTAATAAATCAAATTTAGACAAAACAAAATCATTTGGCCCCTCAGAGAAAGAGGAAGGGTCAAAACTACTCACATATTCAAGGAAGCAGGAACCGATTTCACTCAGGTGGGGTTGATCTTTATTGAACTTTTTCTCCAGACCTTTAAGAAATTTCTTCTGGAATTTGTAAATGTCTTCGATGTTCCCAAAGATGGTCCGTAACTGCTCCTCTGTGAACATGTCTGTCCTTTTCCGGCACTGCTTAACATAACCCTGTGGGAAAAATGTGTAGTTTTACTGCACATTTCGCTCTGAGGGCTGGAAGATAGCAGAATGGCTCATGTACTTGCAGCTTAATGGATAACTCCCAAATATTTGGTTCAGTCTATTATAGTGCTCAGCCCCAATTCACAGACACATTGAATGTCTAGAACAAACTGTGCTAATTAATATTGTCATATGAAAGACCTTGCATGCACGTCAACAGGCTGTGTCGTTGCATCTGAAGAATTTTCTATGTGGCCAGTGTTTTATTATTGCTCAGATTTCAAAAAAGCACTACACTTCAAGACAGCCAGATATGATCACATCACGTCAGCCAGTTTATCAGTTCTATTTTTTTTCATCTATAACATTAAACAACATAGAATACCATATACAGGAAGGGCAATTTATATGCCAGATCATCTGGACAAACCTTTCCGATGACGAGCGATGCTAGATCCCAGGTACCCCCTGTTTCTTGGTTAGGATCAGGACATGGTAGAGGATTTAAAGGAAGTAGCAGATTATTCTCACATTGTGCAGTTGGTCCACCCAAACAATTGGAGGAATCTTGCCATTATGGACTAAGTGTGAAAGCAGGATATTTTTGTTTTGAGAAACCTGAGGCCTATCTTGTTCTAAAAGCCTGCCCGATTAAACAGCAATCAGTAAGCTGATTGGCTGCTATCAGGTTTTCTGTCAGAATTACACAACCGGATCAGCGATCCAGTCTGTCTGGGGCTGCTGGCCAATCAGAGGCTGACATCTCCAGAAATCAGCGGCATCACGATTGCTGCCCAGACACCGCCCCCTCAGACCCACGGAAGGCGGGAAAAAAAAAATGCATGGGTGAGGGTTTCTGGGGCTGGTATCGTAGGGAGAGAAGAGGCAGGTGGTCAGAAGCAAGGGCAAAAGGTGACTCTCAGGTGTCATCTGCCTGACCTCCATCCAATCGCTCAGTATTATATAAATTATTGCAGATCGAGAGAGCCCACTGATCCACCCAAGCTAGCAGCCTGCCCACACTTAGGTTACCAGTGAATTGGCATTTCCTCATCCTGCCTGGAGCTGAAATAACTGCGTGCCAGGCATGAGGAGGCCCTGACACTAAGTTACAACTTTAGAGCATTAATTCACAGCTGGTTGGAAATTTGACCAAATCTGAGTCTTCCCACACTCAGAACTTGATATCTGAGATGGTGGTAATGGGCTGAGTATTTTCCAGTGTCAATGCACCTGATTATTGACCCTTTCCACTGATCCACTGACCACCCCTGCCCCCAACTCACCCCTACTCGCTCTTTGGAAGGGGAAAGTTCTGCCCAACATGTCAATATGTTTAAGGAATAAGCTGGACAGCAAGATCCAGAATCTGATTCTTCATTTGTGTTTTGCTGATAAATCTCAGCCAAAGCAGTGCTAGGTAGGCTACCTAGGAATTTGCAACTAGTTAAATTCTTGGGATTACGTGAGCTGAGGGAAAATTCAGGCTTGACTGTGATCCGTCTATAGTTGAACAGCCAGTATTTGCTAGCTGTCAAAATGAGTCCTGGGCAATTGGGTGAGGTATCAGAGTTATTTAGACACCTTGGGGCTATGCTGCAGATATGCCTTCAGGACAGAAAGAACCACAGGAAAAAAAAACAGAGAAGCAAGAACACAGAGATAGTAAGAACTGCTGATGCTGGAGTCAGTGATAACACAGTGTGGGGCTGGAGGAACACAGCAGGTCAGGCAGCATCAGAGGACCAGGAAAGTTGACATTTTGGGTCGGGACCCTTCTTCAGAAACGAAGCAAAAATATACTCATTTTGTGAATCAACTCAAGATGACAGATGTGCACAAACTGGGAGGAGCACTGAAGCATTGAGACAAGATATGAACTTTAAGGAGCTTACTGCAATTGAAATCAAATTAATCTCAGCTCAGAATGAAACATCTTTAATTAAATTTTCTTCACAGCTAAAATGTCCCACTTCTGAAAATGAATGTCAACCACGTTGAGAACTTTTTTGTTTAATCAGTTTCTGACATATTTAGTACTGCAGTAACACTGCATCGGAGCAGGTTCACAAAAAATCCACACCTCTTCCTTAACTTTCCTTAGCACCACTGGTGTTCATCCAGGCGAAATGAGGTCAGTGCAAGGAGAAAGACATTGCTCCTCTTTTAGATAATATTCATATTAATGTCACCCACATCAGGGTTTGCAAAGATTGATGAATGCCCTGAACAGCAATCCAGAGCCTTCAACTGCAGAGAATCAGCATTTGCTCACTGAAGTTAACATTCGCATTTCCTAAACTGACCACTACTTAGAATAGAAACATAGAAAACAGGTGCCGGACTAGGTCATTTGGCCCTTTGAGCCTGCCCCACCATTCAATACGATCATGGCTGATCATGCAATTTCAGTATCCCACTCCCACTTTCTCTACATATTCCTTGATCCCTTTAGCTGCAAGGGACATGTCCAGCTCCCTCTTGAATATATCTAACAAATTGGCCCCCACAGCTTTCTGTGGTAGAGAATAAAGCTTTAGACTTGCTGCATGTCAACTTTTGTGTAGAAAGTACAGGTTGAAAATCCATGAAGCAATGTTTCCATATTTCTCACAATACACTGGTGCTACATAACAAGAAATATAATATGGACTGATACCTGGGCTTAAATCATCTTCTCTGAAATCCTAAATGAATGGCACATTTTTAATATGCTATTCCAAACCTTACCTCACAGATATCCTTCAAATGTTTGATATAATCATTCTCGGTGCTCATAATCTCACTGATAACATTGGTCCGCATTTGGTCTTTCTTTGATTGGCCTGTGGCCAGCCGACGGTTGGCACTGTTGGCATCATCAGGTTTTCCGTCCTCGACCCTGACTGGGTATTCTTCCATGGGTTCATCCTGGTTGACCCACAACTTTAGAAGTAAAAGAGAGAAGAAACAAAAGCAAATATGTACTTAATTTATATTCTTTCCAACTGGAACCGTAATCATAACGAGATCCAAGATTTGTTTGTGTACTCTGATATTTGAGGATAGTGGCCCTAAATAAACTCATTCCAGTACTTCTATTACTTCTGAATTGGTCAAGTTTCTAGTGTGTCATTCATTCTCCCTTCACTCCACTTTTCTGGGTGTGCTTTCTGTCAATGAGGTTCCTTGCTGAATTGCCTCCTTCAGACTATGAAGATTTCTCCATTTTTAAACCACACCTCTTTGATATTTCTTTCAATACTAATTTCTTTAGCTTAGTCTGGAGATGATAAATGATTAAAATGATAAAGCACCTTTTGTTCTTCATTTAAGGCCCTTCTATAAATTAAAGTTCTATTTCTGTTCTTGAACAACGACCATCAGTGACAACCTGAAGGAGCGAGTGCCCTGCCAGTCATCTCCACTGTAAATCATCATCAAAGTTGAATTTTAAGGTAGTTCCTCAATAAGATTCATGAGGTCCCACTCAGGACATTTGGGATTTTCCTGTGGTTTGTGCTAAGCAGTTTCCATGTTGCATCACACTGGCCTGTTCTGAGGCATCACTGAAGCTAACGCAGTTCAAATCTTAATTAGACATTGCTAAATTTACATTGAAGTCATTAATAAAAACAACACCTGTACCATTTTATTGAAATTCTTAAAATTCAATCTACTGGATAATTAGATTTTCATTTCAACATCAAATAATGTTTGGCTTAATCAATGTGGATTGTAATGCCCATTAAACAATACATGTAACTTCATACTCTTGTATCAGGTACAGTATCAAACAAAATGTCTGCTCGCCGCAGCCAAAGTTTTTTAAAAGCATATAAAACAGCAACATTAACTTACACTTGTCATTTTGTAGCATGTAGGAAATACAGGCAAGTTTTGGGGAATACAACTGCCCTAATCAGTTTCGTTCAACATCAGTAATTACACAATGTGCTGTTGAAGGTCATTCATTGAAAAGTTGCATGTTAAGGTTAGGTAGCAAATAAGATCGAAATCCATTGTACACTTTCAGCCATCTCAAGAAATGACATTGAGGGGTAATTTGGCTGAATTTGCAACCCTCTATAGGAATGCCATTTGATTTGGAAAGTGCACAGTATCAGAATGTTGATTCATATTCCCTGCCAAGATTACAGGATCAGTGGACTTATCTTTCTGGGTTTATACTAAATGTCTGCATACTCAAAAAAAGATACTTAATTTCCAGCAATTGTTTTTTTTAAACAACTATTTTTGAACTGTGGTTGTGCAATATCTTGTATCTTAGGATTTTATTTATTGCCGTTTGATCTGCATCTTGGCAACCGTACAGACAAGAAAATGGAATTAAATGGTGGACTACTGAATGCAATGAATGCAAACAGAGGTAGTGCTTCAGACTGCAGACCTGTTGGTAGATTAAGCTGCTTGTGCTCCTTCCTCAGTCTATGTCACATGAGAACTGTTCAATTCACTGTCTTAGCAGGCCCTCCACCCACACCAGTTTTATCAGTCTTCTTTCCTTATGTGCAATGGTCCTTACCCGCACAAAGCTGGCAGGGAACCAGCCTTCACTGTCCGCGATCCTGCCCCACCACCACTCTTTGTTGGTAGCATCCACTACTTCAATGACATCACCAGCCTTGAAGCCCAGCTCCTGGACATCCATAGTGACATGGTCCCAGAGTGCCTCTGCATACACCACACTGCCATCGCTGATGAGCTGCAAGGGATCAAAACAACATCCTACATGAGTTACATTTCCAATGCGGTATACGAATTTCAACTTCCGTCATAAAACATGAAATAAATTGTATCAGCTTGCTGGCACTCTGAATCCAATTTTTCAGAAGATTTGAGCTGGTCTGTGGCGGGTTTTTCAGTCAGCTGCCATTTTATCCATTTCAGAGAAGATGCTACAAGGTGGCATGTACCTGCCCGGAGCAACACAGCAAACCAGTTCGGGATCAGATATCACTTTTAACTGGATTGCTCCACAGACCTAAGTGCGACAAGCTTCCTCAGAGGCTCGGCAGTAAAGGAGTGAAACAAATGCTGCTAGGTAACTGAGCCTGAACAGGCAATGACGGGCAATGCGCGTAGGCTCTTAATGCTAGGTAACCAAGAGAGAAAAAGGCACAGTATAATTGTTAAAAAAAAGGTTATGTAACACCAATTTATTTTCTTTGCTAAATTCCACTTCCACATACAAATAAACATGATTGATTAAAATCCAAACAAATTTGTGCACTTTTTTTTCTCAAATGCATGAACTATCTCAATCAAGAAGAACATATATATTTTGAATAAAATAGTGATTGGTAATGCTGCTCTGTCTATCATGGCCTACTTTCTGCCTGTTGATGACAGTAGCAACAAGCTGCTACTAGAGTTTTTTTTAAAATATACTTTATGCTTATATTCATATGGAAAAAAAATCAATGTGGTTGGAGAATGAACCAGCTTGAGATGGGAAGACTGACCCATCATCAGTGGGGTTAATACCACTGCATTGATAATGCCCCTCCCCAACCCCCAACTAATAGTTAATCTTAGTGCTGTGTGTCTAACTCTGTTGGATACTTGGAATAGCAGGATATGATGCAACTTCAGAATGCAGCAACTCAAATAAAACCACAGTAATCCATTAATCAGTCCATACACATACACAGAAAATTGAACAGTCAGAAAATAATCTCAGTTCCAGACTGTTAATCGTTACATGCTGCCAACATTTCTATTATTATCCAGAGAAGAGAAGAGATGGACTGTAATTTGTGAAATGTTACAAATAACAGTTGGAAATAAATAAATCAAGTTCAGTAGTTTTGAGTGACAAATATGCTTTTACATCCAAGCATCTAAGATAGTGTACATCAAAGTTATCTTGGACAAATAAAAACTTGCTTTGGTGCTTAATTGTTTGATGAAAATAATTGGTTTTGTTGATAGAAGGGATGATAATTAATGATGTGGCTATCTGAAAAGAAATAAAGCTTTAAAAGTAAAATAGTGGTAAATATATGCATATTCATTAGGAAGGCAAATTCAACTTTGGCATTTATTTTGAAAGGACTTGAATATAACAGCAGGGATGCACTTCTGAGACTCTTTCAGGCTCTGGTCAGGCCACATTTGGAGTATTGTGCAGTTTTGGGCCCCATATCTCAGGAAAGATGTACTGGCCCTGGAGCGGGTTCAGAGGAGGTTCATGTGAATGGTCCCATGAATGAAAAGCTTAACATATGAGGAACGTTTGAGGATTCTGGATCTATACTCGATGGAGTTTAGAAGGATGAGGGAGGATCTAATTGAAACTTACTGAATACAGATTGGCCTGGATATATATCGGGAAGATGTTTCCATTGGTAGGAGAGACTAGGACCTGAGGGCACAGCCTTAGAGTAAAGAGAAGACCATTTAGAACAGAGACAAGGAGAAACTTCTTCAGCCAGAGAGTGGTGAATCTATGGAATTCACTGCCACTGAAGGCTGTGGCGGCCAGGTCATTAAGTATGTTTAAGACGGAGATTGATAGGTTCTTGATTGTCAAGGAAATTAAGGGTTACAGGGAGAAAGCAGGAGAATGGGGTTGAGAAACATATCAGCCAAGATTGAATGGCAGGGCAGACTCGACAGGCTGAATGGGCTAATTTCTGCTCCTATGTCTAATGGTGTCGGTAGCTTGAAATCTCCTGCTGTGGTGGTGAAGGGGAGACTGTAATCGTTGTCGTCTCTGGTACTTCAAAAACAAAAAGACTTCTCTGTCTGTAGGCAGGTCCCTGGTGATTTTAAATTGAGCCACAGCAAGCAAAACACCTCCATTTTTACTATGGATAAAGTGATGGGGCAGGGCCCCAAATCTATCTCAGCTGGAATAGGTATCAAATTCCATGTTGAATGAATATTATCCACACGACAGCCATCTAGCCAATCTAGATATCCCCACTCCCACATCTCCTTGCTAATGATCATGATGGCCAAATGGAACATGTAGAGGCTTACTGGAGCATACAGCATCATTTTTGTGATACCCAACAAATACAAATTGTTGTTGCTGACTGTTTTGGTGTAGTTTATGCATGCTAAATTCTTCGGAAAGTGAAGATCCTCAGGAAAAGTATTATTGAAGAATATTTAGTCATTAAGGCTTTAAGAATTTTAATGATTGAACTGCAAATGATGTATGGGATTATTTCATGAGATTTGCAGTAATCTATTCCTCTAGAAGACAGCTTGGTGGCATTTGATGAATCATGCAGAAACACAATGAGTCGGGTTAAATCATTCTGAAATATTCTTTCCGATATAATTCAGTGCATGAATATGAAATCTCTTTCTACTGATCTTTCAGTAATGTTTGACCCACATGTACAAAACACAAAAGGAAAATGCTCTGGATGCTAGAAATCTGAAATAAATAATGACAATGCTGTAGATTCAATAGTCAGCCAGCATTTGTTGGAAGACAAACAAGGCCTGGATTTTCATTCCTGGGGCATGTGCACAGCATCAGAAACATCCCTACTCAGCAAACCCATCTTGGAAGAAATAAATCCATATATGGCTGGATTTTCACTCAAATGATGGTGGAAGAAAGTCGTTAAGTCCTCTAGTTCTCACTCCTCAACCTCAGCACACATTCCTCATTCATGTTAACTTATGCCCCCCACACACCCTCCAATGCCTTTCATTCCTTTCATGACAACTCACGGTTCTTTATACCCCAACCATGGAATCTCATACCCTCCATGCCAATCATTCACCTGTACCTGTCCCAATAGCTCTTTATAGCTCCAATACCAACCTATTGTAAGCCTATGTCAAATCATGTCTCCTCATTCATTATCCTTTGCACTTACAACTTTCATATCATCTCATCCAGTATCTACTATGGTCTCAGGAGTCATGCTGAGATGAATAAAGTTCTAAACATGTATTGCAGACTTGACTATATCAAATAAACATGCCCAGTGTTGAATTGCCCATTGTTGAAAGCCCACTCAACACATCTAAATCTTTTTAAGCATTTACCTCAAAAACAAAATTTGTACATTTATATGCATAGCCCCATGCCAAAGACAGCTAATCCACTAATTACCTCTTGGAGTTGTCAATCAAACTGTAAATTTACAGAATGTTGCCCCCAACCCCACACCACTGCCGCCCCATCCCCCACCATGCAATAATCACAGATAGTGCAAGAAGTCTATCAGTAATAATACTACAATGATAGCTCCTTGGATTATTTCAACACATACATGTCTAACATCCAAGCACTAATTATTTTCAGTTCAGAGGCAAGGCAGACTGTATCTTTTTCTCAAAACTGAAAGAACAGAGGACTTAAATAAATTGACAGCCTGATAGCTTCACAAGCCTCATTCACCCTTTATGAACATTCACATCTACTCTTAAGAATGGTAAGTCACACACCCTGTGAAATACACCCTGATCCAGTAAAAGTAAGGTCAGTTTGAACTCAGCAAAGGCTCACTTTGGTCCTCCTGGCTTTGGAGTCCCATGTGTGTGAATTACATCCTGCCCCCTTTCTCACCTAGTAAAGATCAGACCTCCATCCTGACACCAGTTTGGCTAAGGTGCAGAGCATCCATGAATCTGCGAAAACTCCAGAAGTAACATTTTGGATCAGAGCTAGAAGGTGTGAGAGGTGAATCACGTGGGATTTTAAGCAAACACAGAGGCAGGGAAAGGGGATAGGTCATAAAGAACAAAAGGAAAGGTCTATGGTAGGCTGGAGGGCAGGAGACATTAAATATCAGTGGAGAACATGGTAAAAAGACAAAAGGAAATGGTAACTGACTAAGAGCAGGGAAGAAAAATGGATGAAGAACACCTGTAAATAACAACAGCAGAATCATTTTCCACACCTGCTATTCAAGCAACGGTTAGGATCTGAAAGTGTTGGATTTAGTGGTGAGTCTGGAAATTTGTAAAGTGCCTAATTTGAAGTTTGAAAATGGGAAAATTCGATTTGATTGTTATGCTGTTACATTTCCAGAAACTGGTAGCAAGTGCATACATTACCATAGCAACCAGACACTATGGTGATATCTGGAATATGTGCTTCAAGCTGCTTCTTTTAAACAACATGAAATGATGTCGTCAAATAAACAAGTTGAATCAAACCAAAGCATGAACCATGGGGAGTAACAATTAGGAATCAGCAACACGTGACTTGAGTACAAAGACCAAGAAAGAAAAGCATTTGCCTTACTGTGGGGTCTTGTATTGGTTAGGTTGGTATATCACACAGATCTAGAAAGTCGTAGGTCGAGCAACAAGTCTGAGCTAAATTATTCAACTCTACTTGGTTTAGAAGTAGATGTGGCACTAACGACAACAGCCAGTATTAGAGCAAGGATGTGAAAATAGGCCATGTTCTTGTTTGCTGTGCCATGAAAACGTATGACCTTTGTCAATTGTTGAGGACAGGATCTCCTTCCCTCATTGTAATCTACCATCATTATCCCACCCCCTGAGTCAACAAGGGTGTTTTCATGAAGCTCTGTAGGGAGGCTGAACCTGTGGAAATATATCCCAACACAAAACAGTACTTTATGGAATAAAGGAAGGCTATATTATATTGTTCGTTTAATTTTGATTTCAGATTTTCTACATGATACAATTATAGCCCAGGATTTGTTGCTGCTATCCATTTAAGAGATTAACTGGGAGCTATAAAATCCTTTCCAAACATAACAAAGCCTGATGGCCTGTGCTTATTTTTGCTGTTTTCATTGTGACCTGTTTCTACTACATACCAAATAAAACATGGCCGAAAATAAAATCTCAAAGCAGTTAAGTGCCTAACACGTCACCACCACATCAAGGGTAGATAACAGCAAAGCTGCTGTTCACCTGCGTATTAGAGTATGAGGAAAGCTAGTCTGACAGCCTAGACTATGATGCAGAGGTGCCAGTGTTGGACTGGGGTGGACAAGGTCAGAAATCACATGACACCAGGTTATAGTCCAAAAGGTTTATTTGAAAACACAATCTTTCAGAGCCTC